AAGAATCAAACCTTTTTTTTTTTAACTAGAGTCACACATTTTGAACATTTATATTCTAAGCAATTATTTGTCTTCGCTACAGAAGATTCTAAGTTCACACTCCAGCAGTTCAGGAGCTGCTAAACGATGGAGGGCTCGAGCCAGTGCACACTGATGGAAAGCCCAGTGGGAAGAATCAAACCTTTTTTTTTTTAACTAGAGTCACACATTTTGAACATTTATATTCTAAGCAATTATTTGTCTTCGCTACAGAAGATTCTAAGTTCACACTCCAGCAGTTCAGGAGCTGCTAAACGATGGAGGGCTCGAGCCAGTGCACACTGATGGAAAGCCCAGTGGGGCTGGATCAGTTTTCAGACCACTACTCTTTCAGATTTCTTAAGGATAAAAGAAAATATGTAGTGTTTTAAATAAAAGAAAACCTGCATCAGGCTACAATACATGAATTGTTTCAAACAAACACAGTGCACAATTGGAGGAAATTTGGTTAGGAGGCGGTTGTTTTTATATATACATGGAAGTCACATCATATACAAACTGAAAAAAAAACAGGAGAGTGAGCTTGCATTTGTCGTGGAAGGACTACAAATGGGTCCCTGCAGCTTTCTGAAGAAGGGATTGTCCAAAGACTGTTGTACAGGAGCAGCCACACAAAATCCCTGTTCCAAAGTGACCTTCACAGCACGTGTCCCAGGCCACTGAAACCACGGCCGAGCTGGGTGATGTCAACTCGAGGAGAACTGATGGACAGCCACTACTGACACAGAGCCCCCCCAAATCCACGGGGCTCCTCCCTACTGCAGTGTGAGCGGGCTCCATCCACACCCCACCCCCTCCCTCCACCCCTCCTGCCCCCAGAGACCAAAAAAAGAAGCGCCACGTACATTTTTCTGGCCGTGCAATACATCTGTGTTCAATCTTCCAGAAAGCTTCAAATTGGGAATATTCAATCCTGAAGCTGGAATATCCCTTATCTAGCTGTCCTTTAAAGTGCAGTCATAACTGTTCAGCTGACTGACGGAAAAGCTGTTGGTTACTAACTAAACCACTGCTGCTGGGCTGTTTTTAAGTTCTGTGGCAACATATGGCATTTTTATTTATTTCCTTTTGCCCACGGATTAAATTACTGACAGCCAAATAAATTTAGAAACCAGCCAATGCAAAAAAATCAAAAACAGAACCTCTCATGTCCTGACTATCCACCCTGGGTTGGCCTGAAATGGCAAAAGTTCTGGTAATGGACCTGTACAAAATTCCCACTAGAAACATTCTGAATACAAAGGAACATTGGAATTGCACAACAGACGTGTAAAGTAAATATCTTCTTCAACTAATCTTTGGTTTTTGCCTTGAGAAAGGCTCAGAATGACAAATGAGGGGCAGGAATGTCCAGGTACACAACACAAACTACAGCCCACGGAAGTAGTTCTGCTGATTTGGGTAAATATTCTGGTGGAAAGTGTTTCCTGGATCATGCCCTAAAAACAATTCCAAAACTAGGACAAGAGGCATGATCCATTGCCCAAGACAGGTGTTGGAGACCCCATCCCTGGGGACATTCCAAGAACAGGCTGGATGAGGCTCTGGGCAGCTTGATCTAGTTGGAGATGTCCCTGCTTATGGGGTTGGACTAGATGACCTTTGGAGGTCCCTTCCAGCCCAGATGGCCTATGATTCTATGATCCAAAGCCAGGAAAATGGTGCAGATCTAGTTTCAAAAAAATAATTTTTTTTAAAAAAATCACCACCTTAAACCCTGATCCTGCAACATCTCTTCGGACAGGGTTTTAAGCACTTGAATGGCCCCACAGGTTTCAGAGAACTGTCCAAGTTGAATCTTATCCAGCTGCTAAAGTGCTTTACCAGACTGGGACTTCACATGGTGTCTCTGGGGGTGTTTTTTTTTGTTTGTTTGGGTTTCTTTGTTTAGTTAGTTAGTTATTTTTTAAATGGTCACTGAAGCAAATAAGCAACAGTAGAAATGAGGACTATGAGCAAAACGTTTTCCATTTCTCTCCAGGCAAGACACAGATATAGGCAAAAAATAAAAAAAAAGTCCATCTGTATCTGAAAAGAAGGATGCTGTGCCTTCTTTATCACTGTTCTTTTCCTTGTGCTTTTGCAATAATCAGCTGCTGCTAAGTCACTATCACTACTATTTTAAAACATACAAGCTGTGGGAAATAATCGGGGAAACACAGTAGTCAAGTAGACAGAAGACTCAGCACTGAAGAGAGTGTAAACTATAAATTCTAATGAAAAAAAAAAAAAAACAACAAAAAAAATCCTTTAACTAAGCTGTTCAGTGCATATGTTATGGGCCGTTTGTATTAAAAGCACTCCCTCCTGCTGGTAACATAACCCAATCAGCTTGGGTAGAAAACTCTTGGCCCAATTTTCAGAAGTGCTGAATAACCCCAGTTCCACTGAAATAGGCAAGGACACAGCATTTCTCAAAATCACTGATGCTCACGCAGCAAAACACTAACTTCTACTAACAAACTCAATATTCTGAGAAATCAAAAATATTCTGAAGTTGAGGTGGACGTGATTTTGCACACAGTTATTTCTCCAGATTTACACACACGCACACATTAGTAACTGTAGGTGTGTTCTAAATTTGTTGCTACTGGCTTTTCATTCTGGAAGGAATCCTCCCTTTGAGGAGGCAAAACCATTTTACGTGATGTTGAAATTATACTACATTCTCATGGAAATGAAAAAAAAGTCATGAGTTTGGATATCACCATGCCAGGAATGGGCCTTCTGAAGCCAAAGCTTTAACAGTGAACTTTTGTGCCACGAAAGGGAGAAGGAGTGGGGACAGAAACACAGTGAGGCTGCATTACAGTAGATATTTGTGTCTGGTATCCTCATCCAAAGTGAGGTCTACTACTTCTGGGGGTGAAGACCAATTCTGCTGGGGAGTCACAGCTGTCCATGATTGTGTTTGCTGGGTGTTAACGTACTGCGAGCCTGAGCCGTGCTTCCAGGAAGACACACTCTGAATCACACCTCCCCTGGGGTGCACGCACCTGTGGCAAGGCAAAAAAACACAAAGGATTAAAGCTGATACTTGCATTCAGGCATCAGATTCTCTTCTGCAAGGTTTTATCACTTAGGCATCTTGTTAACACGTCCCTCTCCAAAACATCCTCATGGGTTTTCCATTTGCAGAGTCCATGACATCCTGAATACCCCAGAAGTAAAACTGAGACTGAGCTTAAACTTGGAGGTGGTGGTGGAGATTAAATTCTGCCTGTGGGTGTAACAAGAGATTCCTTACAAAATATATGTGGATCCTAAAAAAGTCTTCCACCTTGTTTGTAGTACCATGCATTATTCAGAAGCATAGACTCCTGCTACCAGTTTTATCAAGTGGACTTTTAGAAAGAGAAAAAAAAATTAACTGAAGCTTGATGAGACAAAGAGAACAGCTATCCTTCTATATGAAACCAAAGCCATGTTAAAACAAGGACACAAATGATGCTCTCATTACAATAATTACAAGAGAGATCTCATAATTACGTTATTCCAGCCATTACATCTGATTTTTCTCTGGCCTTAATGAAGTTATGAACATGCTGGGAAATGCTCACTGCTGACAGTACAGCCCCACTTCAGCTCAACATTTAAGCTTTCTGTGATGATAGCCAATAAGACTACATCATGTATTTAAAAATGAACACACACTCAAGTGCCTCACTGAAGTGAGGGGCATAGCTACTAATTTGCACAGTATTTTTACCTATTATATCCATAATAGATGTGACAATTGAACTACAAGATAGCAATTAGGAAAAAAAAGAAAAAAGAAAGATAGCCCAATTTTGTTATATGATGAAGTGATGACAAGAATTTACTGGAGTCTTTAAGATGATCACTCCATTTCCAGCTGTAAACCTTAAAGAAGTGCTAGTAAAATTTATACCGAGTGCTCCAAAAATTGTTCTGCTTTTTTTAGGCACTGGTGGTGGCCGTAGCTACTCCTGGCTGTGTGCACAAGGAGGAGATGTTTGGCTGCTGGGGTAACCTTCTCCTGATGCTTTGTGAAGGAACATTTACTCTGTTTGAGGAGCCCAGGTTTGTACACTGGCCAAGTAACCCTGACATTTATATGCTATTTGTTTTATTTTAAGATAGCACCATTTATTTTCTCCAGAACTACTTAGGTTATGCTCATCTCTCTCGGCTCTGGTTAGAATTGAATGAAACAAACTGAAAAATCTCATTCTGTGAGAGCTCTAACTTCTCTGAATATAAATGTCTCATTTTCTCCTCAGATACGCTATTTAGTTTTTGGATGTGATATTCAGAATGACATTTTATTACTTCAGTCTTAAACGTACACACTTAAAGTACATATCTACAACGAATTAGTAATAAGAGACTGGCATTAACAAGTATAGGGGATTTTTTTTTTTTTAAAAAAAAAGCTTTCTTTTAAGCAGAAATATTTTTAAGAGTAACTGACAAGAAAAGCTTGTAGCCAAAGCAAACTAAATGTAATGTTTAGTCTCAGGGACTGTGGTCTGCTTTTCTGAAACAGAATGCTTAGGCAAAGCTATACTAACTTTTCTCCATGAAGATGACAAAAAGCAAGCTAAAAATTACCCCATAGAAATGATACATCACAAAAGGAAGTCTGTTTATCCTCAAAGAAGACACACAAACAGCCAAGAAGTGAAATGTTCAAACCTTAGCTTAGAGAACATGCTTCCCAGTCTGTAGCTAAGGGAAGATACCAAGTAAAGGCAACAAAAAAGGAGGGGGAAAAAAAAACAACTAGGACAAGACAGAGGAAGGCTGTTTTATATACATGCATGATTAAAAAATAAATATATTGGAGAAAGATTAAGCAAACTGCAAAACAGGACTTGGTGTCCTAAGTAGATGCCAAGTGATATTCCAGTGATGAGAAACACCACCAGTCCACTAGCAATCTGAAGCACTACAAATGATGGACAAAATCTAGGGTGCCACAACTCAACACCAGTCCAACCACGACACGGAATACAGAGCACGATAAAAACACCAGTGTGAGCAAAAGAGCTGAATCCAAACACCAGACTAACTAAGCATGCAGAAAAATACTGATCAAAAACCTAAACCTTTTCCAAACGACAACCCTGTCAGAAGCCCATCAATACTTCATAACTGCAAGCCTAGACCTGCAAGAGAAATAAAATTCTAAATAGGAGTCAAGCAACTGAATCCTGTGAGTATTCAACAGAGCCAGTAAGAACGAGTCGTTGGGAGGTGGTAGATGGTTACATGAACACAGGGAAACACAAAAGTGTGCTATATGTCTGTCTTTGCTGAAATGATTTCGGTGCACCACCTGCTAAACATGATTTTAAACAGCAACTCTGCATTTACTTGGTATTTCCATTCTTGTACGTGGTAAACGTGATCAAGGTAAGCAGCATGGAAAGCTTTTGAGTAGAGGAACTCAATCAGAAGGGTTGTTTGCACATAGAGCCAGCCAGATCTACATGAGCTAGTGCTGGAGCACAGGTTCACACTGCTCAACGTTAGGAAGAAGACCCTCCAAGCCTTTGGTCTGCTGGATCAACAGCCAGAAGAGCTACTTCTTAAGGAACTAGTACCTTCCAAATGAGTCACTCGTGCAAGGACTTTCACAGTTCTAAAAGCAAAGACTAAATTTCTCTTCCTTTAGCCACTTAAAATTTCCTTCTTCCATGTCCAACAGCACTGGACTGTGCCCACCCTTATCTGTTCAGTTTCCTGCTTGGGAGATGGGGTCCTGCACACCTTCCCTCCCTCCAGAAAGATGTGGTGAAGGGCCAACGAGGAACAAACAGCTCTGCTCCTTGTCCCTCACACCCTTCTTCTGCCTCCAAGGATCCACCAGGCAGCAGACTAGTTTTAGCAGAAAGAGCCTGTGTGTGAACTGTTTTAACTTGCTTTTATGTCACCAAATGAACACGCCATCCTGTTTGAAAATGGTGGTCTTGTTCAACTGCTTCATAATATTTTAAGCCACAGAAAGATCATAGAGTAAAGATGAAGGAGAACATCAAAGAATACCTATTGAGAGTAAAAGCTGAAGCACAGCTGGACAGCTTTCTACCTGAGCTTGAAAGAAACCTCTGGCTTCCTTACTCTGATTTGCTTTGGGGGTTTGAACTCTCTTGTATTTTGAAAAAAAAAACTCCAAGAGCCATAGGGATCTGATTTTCAGTCTAAAGGGGATATTTTATGACATTAGACATTGAGAAGTTGATAGTATTTTTACAGCTACTGATTTACTAAATAAACTGGAAGCTGATTAAATACTGAAAGTGAGTATTTTGGAAGAAACAAGAATGCACATGAATATTTCTGTTTATGTATTTGCATATTCACACTATGCCCTTAAAATCTGAATTCCAGTTTGGTAACTCAATATTTGGTGTTTTAATAGTCCATATGTTTATCCTGTTAATGATCCATATCAAGTCACAAGCTTAATCTGAATACTTATCAAGCTGGTAATGCTCCAAAGAAAAACACTTTCTGGGGTTATTTTTACTTTCCAGTAAAATAGGAAAAAAACCCAAGTGCAACATTTACTAACTTTAGAGCACTGGTCATGGACAGATAACTACAGAAGTGGAAGTCAGGTTTTTGTCTTTATTAACTTTGGAAATACAGATATTGAGATAAAATGGAAGACATATTAGAGCAAGGAAAAGGAATTCATACCTGGCATGTTCCTGAACTCCAACAATCTCTACTTCACTATCAGAAGAGGTGATATTAATTTCTTCATTGATCTGGGCATTACCCAAAGAGGTTTTGTCACTTGCAAGAAGGCCTGGATCCAAATGACCTACAAATAGGGAAAATGCAAATACAACCAATGTTCAGCAGCTTACAGCACTCAGAAATCAGTGTGAAAAGGAATTTCCCAAAGCTAGAAAAATAAAAATCCTGAAACACTAAGATTATAAAATCTTACTAGACCCAGTTATCCAGCTTCCAGTCCATCACCTGATACAGGATGACCACGGGATTTTCCTGGTCTCAACAGCACTAGTGATGGTGTTATCACACAAATGATGCAATAGTTGGGCTTTGCTCACAAGAACACTTGACATAATTAGGCTTTTCAGCTGTGATTTTACAACATTGATAAGAGTTAGACTATGCCTAAATGTCTTTGAAAAAAAGAAACAAGACAATCTGCTGTCAATAAATCAAACTCTGATATTGTGGCAAATGAAGCCTGTAGGCTGGACAGAAACCTGACACACACAAAGAAAAAGGAATTTCTCTTCTTTTTTTGTTTTTCTTTTTTAAATAGGGAAGCTGGTCAATAAGAAAGGCCCAACAAACAATTTCTGGTCACACTGCTTCACACACCTGTGATAACATTATTACAAGTACCAGGAAAAAAAACAAACCAAACTCAAACAAATCTCTTTTTCTTAAGTTCCATATAGAGCAGTATTGTGGTTTTTTTTATTACAGTTCCTCATTGCCATCCAGTTCATTGGTCTGTCAAAGAATAAATCCTCTTTAAATACTCACAGGAGTGGCAGGTTTTGCCTTTTCTACAAAGAAGCTCCTTCACCACAATGAGTGAAGCTGTGTTGTGACATATTAAATACCTGCACAGGAAACTCTAAACAGCCAAAATGATTTTACAGACAATAAATTCTTTAAAAATAAGATTTCATTGCAAAAAGATAAATTCTACCTTTTTTTTCCAACCCCCTTAATAAAGATTATTTCTGCTGTCTCTCTTTAGCAGTAACCTGGGGGATGCTGGGCAGCCCTGAAGCAGATGACTCTACCTAATTTTTGGAAACTACTCACTCAGCTGTATAACACAGGGAAAGAATAATTTGTTGAGCACGAAATTTGAGATTAGATGAGTATAATATGTATGTCTTGTTTGATTGGATACCTCTTCAAAGATGAGAGACGGAGGACACAATAATGATCCATGGAATTTCAAAGGTGTGTGAACAAGGCAGAACTGATTGTACCCCCAGGTAGACCAAGAGGACACAGAGAGAAGAAATTAAAACAAGTGCCAGGGAAACCTTCTAATGACTGCTTATAGTACTTGGAGAAGACACAAGCAAATAAAAGTGGCAGAGACCACACTGTGTGTTCAGTTTTTGGAAAGCAAAAGCCCTTGGTGCAACACCTGATCAGGGTTAGCAAGGAAAGGAAGGAGACCTGTGTGCTGCCATCAACCCAAAGGAGGAGTTTCCACCTCACATGACAAAGAAAAGATTTCTCAGCTGAACTTAGTAGCCCAGGCAGTCTTTTCCTAACATTACAGTTCAGCCAAAATTTCTTGGCAGACATCACCAACTGCCAGAAAGTCCCATAATGGGCCATGGATATTCCTTCAACAAAAGCATCTAGGTGCACTGTGAAACTCGACATGAAGTGCTCAGAGGCTTTGATCCATGTGCTGGTGACACAAACCAGGAGCTTTGCATGGTCAAAGGTTTTGACTGAATGTCAGTCCTGCCACAGCACAGGCAGCAGAACAGCAGAAGACAATCCCTGGTCACTGATTCATGAAAACTGGTATGGATACCAACCTTCCTTAATAGGTTGTTTTAATGATGTGCCACCATTCTGCACTCTTTGCTAGACAGGGTAACATCTGGCAGAGGGGCAGAGCAAACTAGCTCTTAAATAGCCCTCAGATGAATCCTCAGATGCATAAACAAGAGCTCCAAAAGAGTAGTCTATTACCATGGCTCTACGTTGAGACAACAAAAAGCTAATTAGCAGTAGAGAAACCATGATTATCAGAGTAAATATTACAACAGTAGCCGAGTGTAAATCAGGATTGAAGCACAGAGATAGATTTACAGCCTCTGGCCACACAAATTTCGTGTCTAGTAACATGCCTACACTGTTAATGTCTTTGCACTAGCATTAGGCTGATGCCCGAAGCAGAGGTTTTGTTTGCTCTGCAACATCAGGGCTTGCAAAACAGCCCAAAATACTTGCCTGTGCACAAAGATGTGATAGTGTGTCCTAAGGAGATCTTTCGCTGCGATAAAGCTTGTGTTGATATTTTCCCATGGGAACACATCGCTTCATGTCTGTTAAACTAGACGCCGCCTGAAGATTAATTTAGGAACCAGATGCAAGATCTGAAAATTCCGTTTTCCAAATAGGCAATCCTAGACGTGGTAAGAGGAGGCCAGAAAAAGAGACTGACCCTTTCAGACGCCGACACGGCCACAGCACTGGCGGCAAGTTTGTCTGGGCACGTTCCTGCAGGGTCAGCGATGAAGAAGGTTTTTGAAGTTCTCTAGTTTTCTTTTACCTGGCAACCTCTTCCTTGCCAGTCCCCTTGGACTTAGGTGGTGGAAGGAAGACAAACCTCTACCTGCATTGCAGTGCTCTACTCACGAGTGGACAGTGGAAGGAAGCTTGGTAAGAAGCATTAGTTTCTATTTCCTTGCACCAATCCATTAGCGCTATATAATAAATTTCAGCTGTTCTAAATGTTGAATAAATCTCTTAATTAAGGAGTGGGCTTGTCGGGGGACAAATAGCTAACTATCAGTCAGCTGCTACACAGCAAACAACACCAGTGAGCTTGGAAAACACCAGCTAGCTTCAAAAGGCTGGAACGACATCCAGCCACAAACCACAGCGAAAATAATGCAGCTGAGATTCTCATGCTCAAATAATAGACTTGTCTATGGCAACAGAACATCTCTTTCAAAATCTGCCACATTAGTTTGTTTCTTTAAGCATTATAGACATAGAAAAGTTGCTTAGAGCTACCAGGAAAACTTTAACGTAGCCCTTTGGTGGGCTTATGTTTGGAAATCACAGCATGAAACAAAACACTGCCGTGCTCCACCACTGCAGTCAAGACTCTGTGTCTTATGCAGCTAAAAATATTAACATGTGTATTAAAAAACAAAAAAGAGTGAAGCTGAAGAACTTTTGTGAGCTACCTAAAGTTCTCTGAATTTTTCCACAGTATTCCTGCTCTTGCTTTCTTACAGGAAACTCCTTTGCTGTCTCTTGATGCTAAGCCCACTTTCCTTTTCACTCTCCATCTTTATCTGATGCTGACCTGTCCAGTTTTCTAAGGCACTTCAGAAATGCAGATGGAATATGGGAATGATTAATGATTGTATTTTAAAGAAAGAGACAAACAAAAGAGGCAAAAGACATACGCAGACGATGACAATACTTAAAATGAGATTGTGATTGGTTTACCAGCTGATAAAATACTGAAAGCAGGAGAAGGAGAGACACTAACTGAGATGCTGGAGAGGGAGGGAACTTAAACCAACCTGCATTAGCACTCAGTTCATCTAGCAGCCCTCTGGTTCTCCAGCCAGATCCCAAGTCTTGGTTTGCTACAGAATTACTGTGCTCTTGAACTACTGCAGCCGCCAACAGATTGTCCACATTTATCACTTCTGGGTCAGAATTTGTGTCTGATATATCATAATGAACTACAACTGGAGGTCCATCTGCAGGAGGAGAGAAAAAAACAACACAGATTAAAAGTTGTAAAAGTGTCTTTCATAGTATTACAAGTACAAATAATTTGTTAGAGCTTAATACAATCTCTTACATGAAGCTCTTAAAGTATAAGTGCTATGATTAAATGTCAGTTAATGAACATAGTCTGAGATTACAGGGACATTTTAACCTTTGCATACACAGAAAACACAAATGTAAGAAAAACACGTCTATTGATGTATCAGTTGTGAATTATATTTTACATTAACACATAAGCATCTCCATATATGACAATGTTACATTTACAATCTTAAAAGGATAAAACTTTCAGTTTAAAATAAGAAAAAAAAAATAGTAAGTTACAGGATGTTAAATTTGGTAAGACATTTCTCTAGAGAATTTTACAAAATTCAAGTGACAGCTCACTTTACTTTAGGGTTGATTGAATAAAACTAAACTTTTGGATATAACTGATCCAGTGACAATAAATTTAACATTAGGCAACTTTCCTTTGATAACATTCACCTGTCAAGGGCAGGGGAATTTCTCAAAACTGCAAAGTTTTTTGGTGTGGGTTTTGTGGTTGGTTTGTTTGTTCTTAAGATCAAGAGTAACAAGAAACAAAACTGAAATGTGTGATGATAAATATGCTTTTAATGCAGTATGATTACCATAAGCATTTTTGGCCACTAAAGAGACATGGGGGAAACAGGGAGAGAAAATTGCTCACATGATCCTGAAATCTGTTCTTGAGGAATAACAAAAAATTATTTTTGGTCTATTTTAATAAGATGGACTGGTTTCTTTGTGAGGAGTGAAATACATTTATAATTGGAAAGCATGCTAGAAACAGAAGAAGCTTGGAAAAAAAGTAAAATTCAAGACGAGAATTAATATGGAAGCAAAAAAAGGTGAGATAAATATTGTAATTCTGAAAGGATGCCTCAGCTACAGCTTAATCGACTCAGAGTGGCTGAAAGTGGTTTGAGTTCCAACCCCCCAAACGGCAGAATCAAAACTTCCTTTAGGCCAAGACTTCATCCACAAAAATAGCTATGAAATAGAAAAACAGGCTGTGCCAAAGCTCAGCTGCTTTGTTACTGTGAGTCTTTAACTCCAAGAACTTCTGGCAGTTGAGTGTCTGCTGGACTTTTCTGAGTAGGACATACATAGGGTGCAATTTGCATGGGATAATACAAAATAATCATAAACTAATAATGTGTTTCATAATATAGGATTCAGAATTACAAAATGACCCAAGAAATCTTTGAAAGTGACAAACAATAAAATGAAAATACTTTTCAGGAAAGATTGTCTTATCTGGATGTTGAAGACAAAGAATACAATGAACTAAAAGTTTCAAATTTAGTTCTCTGAAAAAGGTGTGGGGTTTTTTTTTTTTTGGTTGGGTTTTGGTTTAGCTGGGTTTTTTTTTGTGACTTGGTCCCTGAAACATAACTCAACATGTTATTTTTAAAAAGATCTATTTTGTCATTAGCAACACACTTCATTAGTGACCATATTGCTTAAGTCGGAATAAAGATCAGTTTTGCAACAAGGTATGAAGAAATTCACAGAAGATTCCCAATCAGACCTGCCTCCTAAACAACAGTTTCATGAAACAATGCTATATTACAAACTTAAAACAGACCCGATAAAAATAAATGGGCAGTTAAATGCCAATGTATTAAAGACCAAACTGTTTGTAAGGTAAAACAATGATGATTATGACTGGGAAAGAAGTCCTGATAATGAACAGAAAGGCAATCTTTCTCTTTTGAAAAGGCAATTACACAACAATGGAATACCAAGTTCAAAAATTAAGCTGGCTGATGTTCAGCTAATTATTCGTGAAAGTCAGTGATTAAATTACATGCAGCAGTTGCAACTGGACTGAATCATGAGAGGCATGTTTTCTTCCAGTCTTATCATCAGAGTTCAGCATGGACATATATAATGTGATTTATAAAAATAAACAGTCGAGTGCAGAAGATACGAGGGTCAAGTACAATATTGACTATTTGACCATTTTTTGGATAGGTTATCTAAAATTTCAGGAGCTATGCACTGTTCTTTCAGGTTTTTGTTTCTCTCGCTTCTCACTAAGATTTCCAAAGCAGAAGCAGAATTTGATTTGAGATAGACGTGTCTACACAAGTCAAATTATATTTGGACAAAAGGCACCAGTAGTCTCAAGTCAAAATTGTACCACTCCTACATGTATAATCATGCAAAAATGTATAATAAATGTATATACATGCAGAGTGATATTCTCATCACCTACCCATAGAAATAACTTGTGTGAAAGTCTTCATCAGTAGGAAATACAAGCATAAACTTGTTATCTGTAGCTCCACTCTTGTATCTTCCACACTTCCAAACAGCACACCTTATAACTTAGCTTAAATTTAGTATACATCAAACAGACAAAAATATTTTCAATATGATTTACATACTGTAATTATATTTGTCAGTGTAATAGCCACCAATTTAACAATCTGGAAAAAAACAAGCTGGCTGTTTACAAATCAATCACAGAAGAGATTTATTTTTGCTTTCCTCAGCTTTGCCTTTCAGGATCAGATTTGGAAATGAAAGGCCCCTGACACCAGGGTTATCACCAGTAAATACCCAACAAGCCCGAGCTAACAGTGAAGATGCTGCAACAAATCCCAGGATTCCCACCACGTACCAGAGAAGAAATAAGCAATAAAAGCCTACATGTGTTTAAAAAAAAACCCAACCAACAAAATAAAAACGACCACAAAACCAACAAGCCAATATATAAGTTGTAGACAACTACCACTAAATGAAAGTTGCAGCAAAGACATATTTTAAAAATCCTCTAAAACCCCTCTGTTCTCAAAAGCTTGTTTCCTTTTCAGTGCTACAAGGACAGGAGGGTTTAAATATGGAAATAAATAATACTTCCCTAGCCAACTATGTGATCATCTGATGGTGTGAAGTGAAGTGAAATGTGTGGTACCAAGGAATAAGGACAACTAGCTTAGCTAGGAAGTAACTGGGGAAAAAAAAATGCTTTCAGGCTGAAAAGGTAAAAGGATTAACTACAGTCATAGTTGTAATTTATCATCATTTCTGTATAACAGAGCCAATCCTCGTAATTATTGGCTGTAACAGGATTTCAACAGATAGAAAAACAGACACCAAAACAAACCATGACAGAATCAAAATTGAATGTAGCATGATTAGGAGGTTCCCTGGTCAGTAATTTAAACAATCTATTTAAGAAAAACTGTGTCTTTTGAGAAGCTGAGGTAGCTGAGAGACTTGTATTTTTCCCTGGTGATAAGCTTTAATTCGCTTCTAAAAGAAGAAATGCTTGAAAAAGACAAGGCTGAAAGTTAATAAGTACCAGCAGCAAAATACAGCTGTTGACATTTAATGTTGTTGGAAAAGGGAAACTGCTTTTTTTAGTTGTTTTTTTTTTTTTTAAGGATTGAGAGGCAGAGGTCATCATGGGGACAGCATTTTCAAGTGTTCAGCTCTCCCTTAATTTATACAGCTCATCAAAACTAATTCCACTCAGGACAACAGAATCAGAAGCCATATGCACAAAAATACAAGTCTACACTTCACCTCCCATTTTAAGCCTGCAACACAGAAAACTCAATTATTTCTTATCTGCTAATCACTCCTAAGCTATTCACAGGCTCCCATCCCAATATTCACAGGCCTAAACTGCTGTGAGATCAACACTCTTATTATCCTTTAATTCATTATAATGGCAGCACAAGCAATAAAGGGGAAATCAACCCTAAAATTTCAGCTGTAGGTGAAAAGTAGCAATCCTACAAAAAGCACCACACCTCTGTGCTGCAACAGCTGCCTATCAATGCACAGCAGTCCTTTATCACAGGAAACTATCAGCTAGCAGAACCTGAATGCAGAATTTAGCCCTTTTGAGACATCACTTCTCTCTAGCTTTCTTAAATTTACACAAGCAATGCCAAGCTCACCACCAAAACTCCTTCCCACTGTAGTCAGAAAGAACAACTTTAGGGTCAGGTTTATACGGCTGAAGTTCACACACATGAATTCCAGCCTTAGGGATAGGATTAAAACATCACTGTATTTTTTCTACAAGTAGTGGGAAAAGACTGAAATCTCCAGAGGGCTATCCTTGAAATAATTCTGAACTTAAAAGCCTAATTCTGGGGGGTCTGAATCACCCAATCTGGAGTCATCAGTGCCTCTGCAATGAGATGTGGAACCTTGTTTAGGTGTGTGTATCACCCTAAGCTTTAGAACACACAGAACAGGGACAGTAATGAGAGCAATAACAATTACAGCACTTCATTCTTACAACAAGCTTTCTATTAGTGGACCTCAAAGAGCTCCGAGGTGGTTATTAACACCCTTTGGCCTACGAGGAAACTGAGGCAAGCAGAGATTTGCAGCTTGCTCAAGGGTAGCAAGCAGGAGGATCTCACCTTTGCTGGCAACAACACTCCCTTCAAATTACTGAGGTGATTTTAACTGTTAAGTTACTGAGGCACTTAAAAATAGCATTCAGGAATGCTTTTTGTGGAACGTGCAAAAGCTAGAAAGGCAACACAGAGAGGCACCCAGGTAACTGCAAGCCCAAGGAGAGACAGCTTCTTCCAGCCTCACCTCTGCATCTCCACTGGGAATGGAGGCACTGCTTTGTCTCAATCTCAGTACTTTAAATTGCATGTATTTTTATATAACAAAAGAGAATACGGGGACATTTTAAAATAATAACAGATCTAAGAATGCCCTTAGAGAGAGAGAACTCTCTAATTTACTTCAAGATTCAGCAAAACATGGAATGGACTTTAATACCTTTCTAAATTTTAAGGCCATCTGAGTGTTACAGTAATTGAACTAATCGTATTTTGTGTGCCAAAAAAACCCAGAAGATTCATCTTAAGTGACTTGCTGCAACAGTTTTACAGTAGACACATCAGTAATTTGAGCCAAACAGAAAGGTTTCCTACACAAGACTGCAGGCTGAAGTGACAAG